GTGAGTGGCGCGTAGTCGATAGTGAGTAGCGAGTAGTGAGTACTGAAGAGTGAGTAGTGGGGAGTGGGTAGTGAGTAGTGAGTAGCGAGTAGGGCGTAGCGAGTAGTGAGTAGTGAGTAGCGGTTAAGGCGTTGTGAATGTCAGGAGGGAGTAGCGGGTAGCTAATAGCGAGTAGGGAGTAGTTCGTCGTGAGTTATGAGTAGTGGGTTGTGGGTAGTGGGTAGTGAGTACTGAGTGGTGAATAGTGAGAAGTGAAAAGTGAGTAGTGGGTAGTGCGTAGGGAGTAGCGGGTAGCGAGTAGTGAGTCGTGAGTAGTGGCTAGTGACGGGTAACGAGTGACCAGCGAGTACGGACTAGGGAGTAGTATGTAGTGAGTAGTGAGTAGTGAGGTGTGGGTCGGGTAGCGAGTAGGCAGTAGCGAGTAGTGGGTAGTGCGTAGCGGGTATTGAGCAGGGAGCAGCGAGTAGCAAGCAGCGGATAGTGAGTAATGAGGTGTGGGCAGTGAGTAGTGAGTAGTGAATTGTAAGTAGTCAGTAGTGAGTAGTGCATCGTGGCTAGTGGGTCGTGACTAGTGATTAGGGAATAATGAGAAGAGGGTAGTGAATAGTGTTTAGTGAGTACGGAATATCGAGTAGTGGGTAGTGAGTAGTGAGTTGGGAATAATGCCTAGGGAGTAGTGAATAGTGGGTATTAAGTAGTGAGTAGTGGGTAGTGAGTAATGAGGCGTCAGTAGTGAACCGTGAGTAGCGAGAAGTGACTTGTGACAAATGGGTGGTGAGGAGTGAGTAATGAGTAGTGAGTGCTGTTTGGGGCTAGGGTTTGGGGTTGGGGTTGGAGTTAGGGGTTCGGGAAAAGGGTGAGGATTAGTTTTAGGGGTGGCAGGGGCCGGGTTCCGGAGCCAGGGGGCGCCGTGGCGAAAATGGGGGAGGGGGGGGGGACGAATTTGGCGGCCAAAGGGGAGGAGGGGGGGGGGGTCGGCTTTTGAAAGGGTGGGGGGGGGCAGGTTCCCCGACGACGGACTTGGAAAGGGGGGGAGGGGGGGAGTCCCCGACGGCGGACAGGGAGGGGGGAGGGGGGGTCCCCGACGACGGATCGGGGAAAGGGGGGGGGAGGAGTTCCTTACCACCTCCACCCCTTGGGAGATCCAGCGGCGCGCCCTCCATAATTGGCTAGTCGGGCGGGCGGGGCAATGAAGAGAACGATTTGTGAATTGCGAAAGAGCTTCCGGCGAGAGCACGGGTCATGAATGAGTTGTGAGGAGGTCTCGTGCGAGGTAGCACCATTCCTGGGCGTCGAGGGCGCGGCGCCGGAATAAGTTGCAAGGGTGTCCTGATCGAGAGCGCGATTTTTGAGTGAGTTGTAGGGAGATTATGCGCGAGAGCGCGTTTTGGAATAACTTGCGGCGAAGTGTTTGGCGGGGGCTCTTGTGGTTTACCAGCCAGGGGCCGAGGGCGCAGTTTGAGCTCTTCGCTCTTCTTCGTCCAGCTGGGAGGAGGCACGAGTACGATGCAGATGGGCTCCGGGGAGAGTGGGGCATGGGAGGGGAGGGACCATGATAATGGTGGTGGAGATGGTGATTGTGATGGTGATGGTGATGGTGGTCATCCTGATGATCACGACCATGATGATGTGACGGTGACGGTGATGGTAATGGCGGTGGTGATAGTGATGGTGTTGGTGATGATTAGAGTGGCGACGATTAGGATGATGGTGATGATGAGGATGATGATGTTGATGGTGTTGGTCATGACGACGGCGATGATCGCGTCGAAGAAGAGGAGGAGGACACATAAGAGGTAGCAGAAGAGGGGAAAGGAGAGTGAAGGAAAGGTGCGGATGGATGATAATGAAGAATCGCGATGCTGGAAACGCTGGAGGGAACTGCTGGAGCAACCTTGAGCGCTACTGGTAACTAGCAGTGGCGGCAGCTGCGTGGGTAGAGTTTGGAGAGGAGCTTGCGCGCCATGACCCCTCGCCCAGGACGGCCAGTACAGCCAGCACGCGTGGACTGTCAAGGACGGCCCTGGTGCCGAAGTAGAAAACTCCCTATGCGCCACGAGGAGTACACGAGGACGACCACGAAGACCGCGATGAAGACGACCACCACGACGACCACCACGACGACGGACGACGACGACGACGACCACCGACAACGACGGCCGACGGCTGACCACGATGTCGACGGACGGCGATGACGGCCGACTGCGACTGATGATGACGGACGACAACGGGCGACGACACACGACGACGCTCACGGACGACGACGAAGTCGACGACGTCCACGACGACGACGACGACGACGATGACGACTACGAGAACGGATGACGGACGACGAATGACGACGCTGACGGACGACGACAAACGACGACGACGACGACGACGACGACGACGGATGACGACGGACGACGGACGACGACGACCACGACTACGATTAGGACGACGAAGGACGGACAACGGATGATGATGCTGACGGGCGACGACGGACGGCGACGACGATGACGACGACCTCGGAGTGCCCACGAGGGCCGCCGAGGGCTCCCGGCGGCTTCGACAGGCCGACGCGGACACCGTCTTCCTGCCCGGCAGGCTGCGCGCCATCCTGGGCTCACAGGTGGACCCCGGCGCCGCTGAGGCTCAGGGCGGGGCGGGGGCGAGGGCGCCCCAGAGGGGACGACGACGACGACGACGACGCCGACGACGACGCCGACGACGACGACGACCACGACGACGACGCCGACGACGACGCCGACGACGACGACGACGACGACGACGACGACGACGACGACGACGACGACTACGAGAACGGACGACGACGACGACGACTACGAGAACGGACGACGACGACGACGACGACGACGACGACGACGACGACGACGACGACGACGACGACGATTACGAGAACGGACGACGGGCGACGAATGACGACGACGAAGACGGCGACGACGACGACGGCGACGACGGCGACGACGTCGACGGCGATGACGACGGCGAGGCGCCCCAGGAGTGCAAGGTGGGGCGAAGGGAAGGCGCGTGTGACGGCCGGCGGGCACTGCAGGGTCCTCAGCGGTTCCCGAGGGCCCGGCCGCGACCCCGCGTTTGAGTATTGGGCTGGCCTCTGGCCAGCGCCGCCGATCCGGGGGGGCTCTGGAAGTGGAGTTTTCTATACCCCCTTGTTCGGCCACGCGCAGAGGGGGGTAGGGGGAGGGGGGAAGGCTTCTTAGAAGCACCCCTGCTTCTTAGAAGGCGCGGGCCTTCTCTTCTCTATACATGTGAGGCCGGCGCCTTCTAAGAAGCAGGCCCCTTCTAAGAAGCCTTCCTCCCTCTCCCTACCCCCCTCTGCGCCCCGCCCACCTGTCCCCGGTTACCGAAAACCGTTGGAAATGACGTCGGAAGTATCCCAGTGTACCGAAAAACGTCGGAGATGGCGTCGGAAGTAACGTGCGCCCCCCCCCACCCCACCCTGCAGAGCGAAGCTTGAGCGAGCTCAAGGCCACGCTCTCAGAAACTCACACGCCGGACCGGCGGATTTTTACGGGACTCCGCCGCCTCGTCGCTGCGCGCGAGGCCGCTTCCGCCAAAAGTGTGGTCGTGCGTGTGGGGCGGTGGCATGTGCGCCGGCGCTGTGCTCCGTGGGAACAGTCGACATCCATCGAAATCAAAGTCGGATCGAATCAGAGAAATCCATCGAAATCAAGTCGGATCGAATCAAAGAAATCGAATTGAGCCCCGCCATCCTTCGCACTATCGCGCCGCCCGCCCCCCTAAAACAGGGCTAGGATCGGGATAAATCGCTCCAGAGCGTTCCGGAGCGCTCTCAGAGCGTTCCGGAACGCTCTGGAGCGGCCGCGGCGCCCAACACATCCTCCAAGCCCGCCGACTCTCAGAGATTTCGAGTTATTTCCCGATCCGATTTTGCCCCGATCTTCGCGTCGTTTTCACAGGCCTCGTGCCACGGTGCTGAACCGACGGTGAGCAGGCCGACGAGGCCTGGCACCGAGCACGGCAGGATCTGCAGGGGGCGATGCCTGGGCCGGTGACCCTGGGGGAGGGAGGGCGCCGAGGTGCGTCCTGCCAGTCAGCGTCCTGCTACCAGAAAGCAGTCACCTACCAGGGGGGGAGGAGGTATATCAGGAGGGGAAAAAGCACACAGACACAATCAATCGTCCACTCCCAGGAAAACGTGGGAAAATATGGGAAGTGGGGGGGAACATGAAAACTCAAAAATATAGGAAAATATGGGGAATCATTTTATTTGTGTGTATTTATTTGTGTGTCCTGGGGCCCCTTCAGTATAGTACGTACCTCGGGCCCAGGGGCCCGAGAGGGGGGGAGTGACGGGAAGGGGGACTGAGGGCCACCCTGTCAAGCTTTGGCCCTTTGCCACGGGAGCGGCGGTGTGGTGGAGGCTCGCGGAGGCAGCGGGAACCGCCCGCTGGCCCGACCCGCCTTGTCATCATTCCTTTTGCTACCCTGCGGCGGCATCAAGTCGTGCGTGGGCATCGAGGCGGTGCACCAAAAAGGGAGGAGGAATGAATGAGCGCGGGAGGAGCGAGAAGGGAGGCGGGGCGGAGGGAGGGCGGGGCGGGGGAGGTTGTGTGGGGGGGGGGGAATTGTGCTGGGCGCCACGGGGTCCCCGCCAGGGATGCGGGCCCCTCCCTCACGGAAGCGCTCGCGGCCGTGGTATGAGAGGAGGGGGTAAGGTCGGTTCAGTAGGCGCACGAGGAGGAGGCGGGTGGAGCAGGGGGGGAGGATGCGGTCGAGCAGGAGGGGATGGAGATGGACGTCCTTGTGCCGTCGTGGGCCTCTGAGGGCGCGCACCCCTCGCCACGCTGGAGCCACGCCGAGACTCCGGGCAGGGCGCGTTTCGGGACGGGCGCGGGGGGGTGGGGGGTCGCCGCCGCCGTCGGAGGCCGGCAGCGGCCTCTTCCTGAACAACTGCATGTTCGGCCTCCACGGGCCCCTGGAGGTGGTGTCCAGGCGTGCGCTCGAGGTCCGCCGCGGCTCGGGGCCTCCTCCGCCGCCGGACCCCAGAGGTCGTCGCCGTCGTCGTCCGAGGTGGGTCCAGGGGGGGCTCCTCCTCTCCTCCCCCCCTCCTCCTCCTCCTCCTCCTCCTCCTCCTCCTCCTCCTCCTCCTCCTCCTCCTCCTCCTCCTCCTCCTCCTCCTCCTCCTCCTCCTCCTCCTCCTCTTGCAAACGGAGGCAGGCGGTATTGCGGAGGTGCAGAGTTTGGACGAGGTCTGCGACGACGCGCTGGCCGATCGGCAGCGCCAGGAGAGTGCGCAGCTGAACGGCTCCGCTTGGAGCTCGCTGGCCGCCTTGCCCGTGCGGCAGCAGCAGCGAGAAGACCAGAGCGCACAGCGGCGACGACGGACCGCCCGAAGGCGCACCAGGCAACACGCAGAGAGGGCAGGAAATGCCCGCCGTCACCAGAGCAGCGTGGCGGGCCCGCCTTGAGGAGCAGGCGATAAGCGCCAGAGTGCGAGAGCGGCACCAGAAGCTGCAGCAGGGCGCAGCAAGGCAGGAGAGGCGCGGCGGCGAGGCGGCCAGAGCCAAGCCGCCTGGCAGGCGAGGGCGAGCTGCCGCCGACCTCGCGGCAGATTGAGCGCGAGTGGCCGCGGGGCCCTCGATCCGCCTCTTGCCGCAGGCCTGAGGGCGGCCGCGGCCTGGTGGCCAGCAGGGCGCCGCGCAGGCCGACGCGCGAAGCTGCGGCGCGCTCGGCCGCGCGGAGGCTAGGGCGGGCCTCGTTCCGCGCACGAACGGGTGGGGGGGGGCGCCACGCGCGCCTCCCCCACCCCCAATGACGTCCCAACGACGTCCTTCTCCTCCTCCTCCTCCTGTCCCTCCTCCTCCTCCTCCTCCTCCTCCTCCTCCTCCTCCTCCTCCTCTCCTCCTCCTCTCCTCCTCCTCCTCCTCCCTCTCCTCCCTCCTCCTCCTCCTCTTCTCCTCCTCCTCCTCCTCCTCCTCCTCCTCCTCCTCCTGAGCGCAAACACCCCAGGGCAGACTGCCAGGCCGCGGCTGACGCGGACAAGCACATACACTGCGCCAACGTCGGCGTCAGCATCATGCACTGATGGGGGCCGCTTCAGGAGAGCCCCACCTGGGGCAATTGTGCATAGCTGGGGCGCCCAACAGCGCTCATAATAGGAAGAGAGACCTTTCGGTTGATGGAAAAATAAAAGAATCGGTCCGCATGGACGTTGAACGCCTTTACCAAAGTCAGACGTGTTGCCCCGAATGGCAGAATATACGGAATGGCCCTGAAGTTCCGAGCAGAACGGGAAGCTGAACTACAGAGACACCATTTGGGAAACATGCTTGTTTGGCAACATCCGGCCAACCCAAACCAGTCAGTAGGAAGCGCCAAGTACAAAGACGATACAATACGTCCCCCCCATCCCCCTTTCCATTACATATACGGTTGGATGGTGAGCGGGGGTACTTTGCAGACAGCACGGCATACTCACAATGTACCCGAGTCACGGTCACTGGGTGGACGTGGGCACGGAGTGCGGGGTACTACGAGAGCGCCGGGCAGTTCGTAATTCAATGCTATCTCCGCGAGGGGAGATGGGACCAGCATGTCAGAAGTACTTCTTGTATAATTGGGCAGTTGGGCACTTGGGATTACGCAACTATCTCCATCGCCCATCCTCGGCTGCCGCAGCTCTAGCGGGGTTTCTCGGAGTGCGTTGCACGCGCGGGCCATTGCCTTCACGACCAGCAGGCAACTAAGGCCCTGCGGGCGTTGCAACAAGGGGCGCCAGCACTACAAGATGATCGAAAATCACAGAGAGCGCGCGAGAAACGAGCCAGGTCGCGAAACGGGCCAAGACGGCAAAGGCAGAGCATGGACAAGAGCGCGCGTCGATTGCGAGCTGGAGCTGAGTGGGGGGATCGGGGCGAAGAAGACAGGGCGCTGCATGGAGGAGAGTATATCACGGGAGAGCAGGTCCGCCGATAACGGAAACAAGAAAGCGATGAAGGCGACGGGGGCAGCGCGGGCATCCCAGGCACTCGGACATACCATAGCTGCTTAAGTTCAACGGGCAGAAGAAGGAGGCCCAAATGAACAGTCTCGCACAGCGCGGCGCAAGAAACCAGGTCGCCATGGAGAAGCCGAAGGAGATGGCAAAGACGCTGCTGGATGGCATAAAACCGAACGGAGGAATCTTTACAGCCTTCAGCAAAGCAGGGGCGGGAATGACGGAGGCTCTTCGCCGCGCAGAAGGGCATGGCATTTCGCTCGGAAAGTGCACGGCCATGAACATTGCAAAACAAGAGTTGGAAGAGAAAGAAAGACATGCACGAGATTGGTGACTGCAAGACGGCGAAGGAAAAGGGCGAGCAGCAGCCAGGGCATCTCAAGGCGCTGGACTCCGCAGACAAAGTGGAGCGACAACGCGCAGCTGTTCAACGCATGCATGGGGGGCGCTGGACGGGGCGAGCAGAGGGGAGGAGCTCGCTCGCACTGGCTCGCCTTCCCGAGCGAGGCGCGGCGGAGAGGCCCCGGCCCCCGCTCGAGGAGCGACAAGTGGCGGTTCTAGTGCAAGGCGGACCGGTTGCAGTTTGCGAGGGCGCAGGAAAACCACCCGAAGGACGTGCTCCTGGCGGAGCGGGTGTTTTTTTTGACCAGACTGCGAAACGTGGCCAAACATCGGGCGGGGGTGCAAGTTCTTCCCTTTCAAGAGCGGGCCATCGATGGTGGTGGAGCTCAAAGTGGGAAACGCGCGGCGAGCGCTCGCTGCGGAAAAGCCGCCGCAGCATCTCGGCGACGTCATCGAGGATCGCCGCTGCGAGTTTCTCGACGCGGCCAAGAAGATGAGCCCAGAGGAGCTTTTCGATGTGCCCCCACTGTTCTTCCCGATGACGCACGAGATCGAAGGCTGCGACCTCGTCGCAAGGTGCCCAGCGGGCCAATGGGGGGGCCAGTGGGCTCTGCGCGACCTCGCGCAGAGCTGGCCCGAGCTTGCGCTGATGATTGCGAAGGGCGACGAAGAGAACATCCACGAGGTAATGAAGGTTGCCACCAGGGAGATGAAACAACAAAAAAAGAAAACAACTGTTTATATATATGTATGTATATATATAACAACAAAAACGAAAACAAAACAACAAAAAAAAAAAAAAAAAAAAAAAAAAAAAAAAAAACTTCACGCTTCGCGTATCCCCACCAGCCCATCTCACAGCAGCAACTCTCGCGAAGCATGCCGACAGTCGTTTTTTTTTTTTTTTTTTTTTTTTTTTTTTTCAGGCGTGTGTCCGCTTGGCCCCGCATATCTCCCCTGTTCCTCCTTCCTCCCGCCTCCTTGTACATCCTCCTTGTGGGGGAGCGGGAGAAGGACGAGGCGGAGGAGGAGGGAGAGAAAGCGCTCCTCGTGATTTGAGTCGTTTGGGGTTTCTCGTCCTGGTGTGAGTCGTTCGGGCCCTTCTTCCTGGTGTGAGTCGTTCGGGCTCTTCGTGGTGTGAGTCGTTCGGGCTCTTCGTCCTGGTGTGAGTCGTTCGGGCTTCTCGTGGTGTGAGTTGTTCGGGCCCCTCATCCTGGTGTGAGTCGTTCGGGCCCCTCCTCCTGGTGTGACTCGTTCGGGCTCCTCGTGGTGTGAGTCGTTCGGGGGCGTCGTGGTGTGAGTCGTTCGGGCGCCTCGTGGTGTGAGTCGTGTGAGTCGTTCGGGCCCCTCCATGTGGTGTGAGTCGTTCGGGCTCTTCGTGGTGTGAGTCGTTCGGGCCCCTCGTCCTGGTGTGAGTCGCTCGGGCTCCTCGTGGGGCCTCTTGGGGGCCTCTTGGAGCCTCGTGGGGCCTCTTGGGGGCCTCCTGGGGGCCTCTTGGGGGCCTCTTGGGGGCCTCTTGGGGCCTCGTGGGGCCTCTTGGGGGCCTCTTGGGGGGCTCGTCGGGCCTCGTCGGGCCTCGTCGGGCCTCTTGGGGGCCTCTTGGGGCCGCTTGGGGGCCTCCGGGGGGCCTCTTGGAGGCCTCCTGGGAGCCTCCTGGGGGCCTCGTGGGGCCATTTTGGGGCTTCTTGCGATCTCCTCAGAAGCGCAAGTGAGAGCTGCCCCCTGAGAAGGACAACATGAGCCCAAAACCTTCGTAAAATCAATGATTCTGCTATGAGGGAAGATGAGCGCGGCCCCCTCCGAAGGCCAAAATGGGGCCAAAACCCATGTAAAATCAATGATTTCTGCTTCAAAGACGAGCAGAGGGGCCAAACTGCCCCCCCCCCCCCTGGGGGCAAGAATCCTCGTGAGGGTCGTCGTTTTTTTGGCCCTCCCAGGAGTCGAAAAAGGCCCCCCTGACACCACTCGGGACTCCCTGTCCAGGTCCAGGGGGAGGGGGTAGGGGGAGGGGTAAACCCCTCCCCGAAGGGGAAGGAGGGTTGAGAACAGAGCGGGCTCTCTAAACCACTCACGCCCAAAGGGCTGGTGGGACTATGGCGACATGGACCCAGAGGAAGTGGAGAGGCTGAATGAGCGCCAGAAGCTAGAAGACAGCACCAAGACCATTGCTGAACGGCACCGAGGTCTTCGCGGAGAAGCTCGGCAACCCCGAGTCGGAGGAGACGACGGCGGCAAGCTCAAGCGGCCGCCTGTGAGTGCACCCGCTGGAGCTCGCAGATTGCCAAGAGGAAGCATAAGCGAGGTTCCTCGGAGTGCTGGTCTAGGCGAGGAGCGGGCTGGCCGCGCCCACAGACGGCCAGGGGGGGCGTTGGCGAGGTTTCCCGGAGCGCAACCCCTGACAGACAACGCGGGCACAACAGCGCGCCTGCGCCGCCATCGCAATGGGATGAATTTTCTCGGAACACCACCGGGCGCAACTGCAGGGTGTGGAAGGAGAAAAAAAGTGATCATCAAGATTCCCACCAGCGTGCTCTCAATTGCCCTACCTACTACATCGTCTTCCAGTATCTACCTCGCGCGATCCGATGGGGGGGCCTTGGGCAACCTCGCAGGGTACCAGAGTACAGATGTGACAATGCATGGAGCACCTCTCGGAACGATGGAGAAGTGAGCTGG